TTTATCCAGAACCAAAGTTAAATTATAAAACTGAATACAGGTCATTTCGCACAAAAGACCGTTCGCACAAGTTTTTTCGCACAGGTTTTGGACCGTGATACCATAAAACTATATTAATAAATCGTTTATTTAAAATTCTATTCATTAAGTAATTATAATTTGATTCATCATTATATCTTTCTGTATTCGTCAACTGCCATATAAATAATTTGTGACTTTTAATTATGAAAGGACACCAAAAACAAAATTTTGGCAGAATTGAGGAGGGGATAGACAGTTCAAATGYAGGGTCAATCAAGGACAGGTAGCCATATTTGCTTGATCTATTAATATACGAATGCTGTTGAGCTTGATTTTTGCTGATTTTTAGGACTCGAGACAAACAGCAAGATGCACAGTGCGTTTTGGTTTGACAAACATGTAATTTGAGCTGCTTACTGGCTTTTCCAGTGCTCCTTGGTCAAAACAAATTATGGTAAGGATTTAGAGAGGTGTGCTGATGTTGTATTGAGATGGTTTCATTGCTGAGACTTTTCAAGTACAATAGACCACCAGACTGACATGTTTACCTCCATGCGCGGGGCTTCGGCACGACCCAAGCAATGCCAAAAGAAACTTTGCTGATTAACCCCCCTTGTCCAAAATTACATAAGAATGGAGCCTTGGAGAATTACAAAATTTTATTATAATTATATTAGCMGTTTAGAATTATTAAATAATATTATTGTTGCTATTAAATAACTTGACCATTAAAATGTAACCTGAGTAATGGCTATAAAATCMAAAAAATTAACAAACAAAATGCTGATATTGGCAAAGATCACCACATGTTTTGTTCTGGTGCAGTTTACATGTAATTCTACATGTAATTCTACAGCTGTTCACAGAATTTTGATTTACAGAGTGACGTAAATCAAGAGACATTYAATAATTTGCAACTGAGGGGCCCACTAAGTATGTTTGCAATATTTCTCCTTTCCATCCCCCACTCTGCTCTCTCCAATCACCCCCTCACTTTCTGATAATCATTCATCTCAAAAATTACAAAAACATATTTATCAATTAACTAATTAAAAAATGGAACGCAAAATGCAAAAAAAAATAAAAACTAGACCCTGTATGCAGGGTTTACACGTGCCCTTTTTTTGTACGTGATATTGTAATATTCAATAGTATTGAGGCCAATTCATCATGATTGAATTCATGTAATTTTATGAGTTTGTTTTGCGAGTTACACCTTAACTCAACCACGCAAATTTTGTTATGCATATTAAGATATTTACATGAAACTTCACTTCAGTCGATCCATTGCCGTTGCCTCACGAGTAGTAGGCATATCGATCTCTGTATTTGAGATCTCCTCCGTCATCATAATTCAACATACCCTTGATCCTAGCACCCAGACGAGTAATGAGTGCAAGAGTTTGGTGATAAACTTTCATGTTCTCTGGAATATTCGCCGGAAAAGTCAACAGTAGTCAAAATGGTGGAGAAATACTGCAGTGGAAAATGCGAGCTAAAGCGTTCGGAATCGTTCGGAACAYACAGCGTAATTTGATTGGCCACTATAGCGTTCRGAATCGTTCGGAACGCACAACATAACGTGTTGATTGGATGCCGGATATCTGCTGGATATATAAATCACAATGTTATTGGCTACGAAGATGTACCGAGAGCAAACTTTCGACATTGATGGAAAAAAAAAACAAGAAAGCAACAGCATTTTTCTACACGTCCCCTGCTACGCAGGGCCCGTGTAATAAAATAAACTGTTGCAACACTATTTGGTCACAATCAGGCTAGGGTATCAAAAATAAATGCAGGTATCTGTTTGAATACTAGACTTCAGCTAAAATAATTATACAATTATATATAATATTGTATATTATTTGATGCTGATAATGCATTGCTCACTACAATTTTGACAACTAAACAGAATGATGTCATTTTGTCACATTGTACAATAAACCYGACATAGTGACTTACCCAAATAACAATTCTCCTCCTCCCATCAATAATAAACCACAAGTTATACCAAATCGAGCACCCACTTTAGGTAGCTGAAAATGATGAMAATTATTGGTAAGCATCACTACATTGYACCAATGATGTCCATGAGTCAAACACAGATCTAATAACATTGAAGTATCCTCTTGCATGCCTATCTTCAAGTATGTTAAGTAATACAGTTGGCAAATGGTT